CTGGTTCCTCTTAAACAGTAGATCCTATTTAGTGGCCTCTCTTGGCATTTCAAAGCTGATTACCCCGTCAGTTTTGTTTCCTCATATTTTCTCCATTACCCAATATCTGCAGCTACCTCAACCTGTGTAAATAAATGGCATCGTATTACCAACTCAACCGGCATAATGTAACTTGCCTTTCATTTATGTTTTTTATGTATTATTTTGGTAAAGTCGGCATTTTTATACCTTGTTCACTGTTTTGCTTTATATTAAAATTCTCCTTTTATTTTAAATTTCAATATTTAAGTAAAGTTTAAGTTTTATTTAAAGAACTACGTTTAAAATAGTAAATACCGCTTTCGAACTTTTTTTTTCCAATATATCTCATTTCAGATCCCCTAGTTTCCCTAAAACTCATTCTTCAAAGAAATAAAAAAAAAATGGTAAACTGGCTAGAAAGTCCTTGGAAGTTTGAATTCTCACAATCCCCAGAGTTCTGCCTTCTAAATGGATGGGGAAGGATGTGGCCCTATGTCTGTGTGTCCATCCACCCCAGGGGTGGATTTGGCAGCTTCACTTCAAGTTGTTCTTAACTTGAAAACTTCACTTCCACTCTTTCTCTGTGCCCTCTTAGTACTCTGCACCTTTCCCCCTTCATTTTGAAGTTAAAACTTTTCCTATCTTCCTTTGAATCATTTTCCCTTTTTCATTTGCAATGAATTGGTGGGTGCTAATTTATACTTACTTAAAATTGATCTTTAAATTATCACTGGAGAGTGAATGACTGGACCCATCCATCTTGTGCCATTTTACAGACCTTTTCTGGGTTGTTTTTATCATAATCTTGCACTTCTAGGAATTATTTTCCCCATTACAAAAATGAGGAAACTGAAGCTGTGAGAGGTGTTTCAGTGGTTCTTAACGTTGGCTTCATATTAGAATCACCTGGGCTTTTTGAAAACAATAGCTGCCTGTGCCCCACACTCAGAGGTGCCAGTTAATTTGGTGTAGCATGGAGTTTTCGCACTGATATAATGTATTTGTATATTTTAACTGATTTTATGTTATGTTCAAATAGGTGAAAGCCACTGGGTTAAGTAAACTGTCCAAGACCGTGGAGAGGAAATTTGAGCATTTTGAGGGCAGAGGATTTATGTAATTCCTTTCTGGGCACAGAGAGAATACATGAATGTACTGGTCAGATTTCTAATTTGTATTAACCTGGGTCTGCAGCTCATGATACCTTTTCAAAGCCACCATATTGCTGCCTTTGAGTTTGTATGTCTTAAATGTCACACCCAGTCCAGGTTTTTCATTTCCAAGGAGTAGTTGAGAGCTAAAATTCCAAAATCTCATATGTCCACAGAGAAGAAATCTCTTCTCATTGAGTTAAATTTAGATAATAAAGGTTAATAATATAGACTGATAATTTCTACACCAACTGCATTTCATGTAATAATTAAGTAGCATTTCAGGCAGTTTTTAGAGGAGTTGGCTTCTTTTGCTTAACTGGAACATAGATACTCTTACAACACTTAGAGAAATGGTTTCCTTTGTGCATCCTTAAACATCTGTTGAGTGCCTGCTATGTGTTAGGCATGATGCTTGTTACTCTAGATATAGCTCTGAAAAAGACAGACTAGATCTCTGCTTTCATGGAACTTTTATTTCAGAGTCTAATGCATGCATTTAGACCTGGAAACTAAGTTTTAGGAGACTTCATGATAGAAAAATTCGGATGACTGATTATTAGGGTAGGATAATCTCTGCCAAGATACTCTCCAAATAGACTGATCTCTGAAGGAGGGAGTTTTTGAGACACTTGTGTTGTTTATTCACCAAACTGCTTTGTGGGGGCAGGGGTTTGGTACAGATTGGAAACAGACATAAACTCTTACAGAGTCACAATGGAGAAAAGCAGATCTGTACTGTAAGACAGAAAGTGATGAATGCCAGGAGAGACACAGGTAAAGGATGTTGAACATTCAAGGCTGACAGACTACTCCCAGGTCAGGGATGAGGATGAGGAGAATGAGGGAGAAGGTAGAGATAACAGAAAAGTCAGTGGAATTTGACCTGTACCTGCAAGGGTGAATTTGATATTCTGCATAAGCATATTCATCATTCTCTGCAGGGTCCTTGCTTACGATTTATCTCTTCTGCTAGAGAAATTGTAAATATGAGCAAATCGTCCTTTTCATTCTTTGAATGTTATTTGATATATATAGTAATTAAACAGCTAAGCAGCGCTCATTTTCCCCTGCATCTTAAATCACCTACCTCTGTGTCTTCCTACCCTTTAGGCATATATACATGTGTGTACACTCACACACTCATACATACACTCACTCTGCTCTCTTGCCCTTTTTTTTCTTCTTCTTTACACTTCAACAATCAGTGGCATTTGATTTGAAAAACAGGCACTGACAGTTTGGCTCTTAATATTGCCTTATAGCCTCAAGTTAAACTTTTATTCCCCTGAATGAAGTAAGGGAGTTCTTGGAATTTAGTGATGTGAAATTAAAGAAAACCAGAATAAGTCTTCCATAGATCCGTTTCCTAAAGCTTTGACCAGGCTGGTCATGGCATTTGTTATTTAAATATGACTTGAAAGGACCAAAAAAAAAAAAAAACCAACAAAAAACAAAAAACCTGTAGGTAATATAATCAGAGCTACCATAATGGTCCCATTCAAATTATTCTGTCATAACAAACATAAATAATAAATCGATGTGCTCGGGAGATTTATTATTAGTCTAAATAGTTTGTTTTAAATTCTCATATATTCTACAATAATTAATCTATTTAGAAAACTAGCAATATTATAGTCAGGTTTCCAGTAATTTTATGTACATTTGAAGTGTTTGTTTTCAAAACAACA